CACACAATGCCTTTTCTAGAAAAAGCAAAAAATTAAACAATATTCTTCATTCTTAAAAACGGAATTTCTTTAATTAAAAACAACACCGTTACACATGCAAGACATTAGTCTTGCTCAACAAGACAGAAAGTTACTTTTGAGCGATTTTGTTTGAAAGCAGAAATCACTGATGCATGAAACAATTGGATGATTCGTCAAAAAATTGTATAGAATTTTCAGCATGGCATAATAAAACAATCCCACACAAACAAACATACATTAAACAAACATATAAACATTTATATAAACATACATACAAACACATATATAAACATATATATATACATATATATATATAAACACACAGACATATAAACATACATTTCAACATGTAAAAATACATATAAATATACAAACATACAGTCATATAAACATAAACACAGATAGTAAAGGCGATCAATAGAAAATTTTCAAAAGAATTAAAAAAAACTACAACAAAAACCTCAACCGTCATCATCATAATCATCACCAACGGCAACAACAACACTGTCAGCAACAACATCACAAACACAAAAACGACCCTCCAAATAACAAAACTACCATTAATTTTCAACGTTGTGTCAATGTTATGTGAACAAATATTTATACATTAACGCACAAAAATACGTGCACCTAAATATATACACACACAAACACACACAAACGCACACAAACACACACAAACAAATACATATACAAACATAGAAACACACAAACTTACCCACATACTCTCATACAAAGGTACACATTTTTTTTAAGACCAGCTTTAACTTTCTGATAGCAGAGTTGCGAATAAATCGTTTTGCACTGTCGGTCATGAAATGGGTGGTCGCTGGCCACAAGCAGGTTGCAACCACCGCTGGTTGCATATTTTCTCAAATTTGTGAATTTGAAATCCGCACTACGCACGGCACATAGCACATGTACGTACTCATTCATCATGAGTCTGTAGATCTGAATGAATGCATGGGAGACGCCAACATTCAATTTGAAAGTTCAGCAAGGGCATATGCAAGAATGCACTAAAGAACAAATAGGACGAGCAGCTCGTCGACACGCAAATAAACGCAAACACATACACAAACACACATACACATACACAAACACACATACACAAACACACATGCACATACACAGACACAAACATACACACACACACGCGCGCGCGCGCAAACACTTGTACATATAATACAAACAGGATTGAGTGTTGAGGTGTGGAGGTGGTGGGCAGAACATGCAAAGAAAGTGACGTCGGAGAATTGGTTGATTCTTGGATGGGGGAAGTAATTGTAAGGGACCATTCATGCGTGAAATAATTCTGTAAGAAACTTCACAAGGATATCGGAATTGTTGAATTAATCAGAAAAAAAACAAAAATAGAAATGTACAATTGTACAAATCACATGCCATACGAACACGATTTCGTGGGCATTTATAAATTGCAATGAAAAGAGTAACGAAACATCGTAAGTAATGTAACTTTACAACTTTTGTATCAAACAAAACTTCGTTCGAAAAATAAACACATTATATAAATTTGATCAATAATCTGCTTATGTTAATACTCCAAAGCACTTGCGAACAGTTCTAGACTCCTACACAATTTATTCACCAATAAAACTGTCAACAAAACAAATTCAACAACTGCTGGTTGGTTGGCGATATGGAAGGGATGTTTTTCAATGAAATGAAGTCTGCATGCAGGCAGGCGGGCAGGTTTACATTGCAAGAACAATTTGAAACTGCATCAAATAAACATTGATTGGAGCAGGAACAAGAAATGAAATGGAAGGGAATGCATGGACCTTACTAAGGGTTACGTGACATCGTTGGGCTGGAGAACTCGAGATGGGATTGGAGTGTTAACACGTCATCATGTAGGTTGGATAGTTGGTAGGCAATGTCGAAATTTATTCAACTTTAAATTTCTAAACAGTTTTTATTGTGTAAGTTTTTATTAGGTAAGTTTTTTTATTTTATTAGTTTTTAATTTAATGAATTTTTATATATTACAAAATACTCGATTAACCATTCGGTTTTGTTGAATGTTTTGTTGTTGTGACGTTTTGTATAAATAAATGTTCACGAAAAAGCTCAGCGACGTCTTGTTTGAACTTCGTCATTCCAGCAAAGACATCAAACATATGCCCGTGCAATCTGATGCTACTGCTGGTGTTTCCATACGTTTCAAAATGTTTCGGAGTATTTTTAAATATTTTCAAGACTTTTGAAGTACTTTGAAAACGTTTGAAGTATTTTGAAGACTTTCGAAGTATTTCAATTAGTCTGACACGGAAGTCGCTATCTACAAATGTTTTTAGCTGGCGTGATAATTAGCATTCAAATAAAATAAACTGGACACTGGACAGTGCAAAATTATTTTGGTGAAATAATTCAAAATTGTACACTTGTATGAAAATTTGTTGGACGAATTACGTGGAATCAATTGATATGTAAAGCACAGAACAGAAGATGAAACATAGTCGACAACAAAATGTATGTGTGAGTGCGTGTGTGGTGTGTGTGTGTGTGTGTGTGTGTATGAGACCTCACATTCATGACTTGCCTGTGCAAAGAGCAACTCCTGTAGCAAGATAAATGAGTGGAAACACGATTTAAAGGAGATTGTGACACGTGATGCATGAACCTGATACGTTCATTCATTTATACATATATACATTCAAAAACCTACAAATATAAATATACAAACATAAACATACAAACATACCAACACAAACATACAAATAAAAACATACAAACATACCAACACAAACATACAAACGAAAACTTACTAACACAAACATACAATACAAACATACAAACAAACATAAAAAACATAGATATACAATATATAAAAACATAGAAATATAAATTATAATAACGCAAAAAATAAATATGTTACACTCCTAGTTGAACGTGTCAGACACTTCTTAAATTAGTAGCAGAAATATAATATCGCTATCTGAAAATACATACTTTGAAAAATTTCTTTCTGATCATCTCCTGCATTCATGTTCTTAACGTGCACGCATTTAAAACGCCTAACAAAGTATGTATGAGTAAGTATGTGTATGTGTATGTATGTGTGCGTGGGAATAAAAATTTGTGCATGTGTGTACAAATGCACGTGTGTTTGTGTACGTGTATGTACGTGCTTATAAACGAATTTACCTACGTCTGTGTATGTTTTTGTATGTGAGATGAGTATCATTTTAGATGGTTAAATAATATTTCAGAATGATCTCTTAAAAATGAAAATTATTCAACATGTTCAATTCAAGCAGCAATGATTTCAAAGCAGTTTGCACTTAGTAGGTAGGTACAACTGAGTGATTGTTTAAAGGGACTTTGACTTATATTCCCACTCTGATGAGTAACCACAAAACAATTTTCTGCATGAAATGAGAAGCAATATTTTCTTGAAACATCCTGAGTGACGATAGATTGATTGTTAGTTTTAAAATGGTTGTTCGTGTTTTATTTTTTCCCTTCACGAGATTATGAAAAATGTTGATGACTGAGGAGATGATTAATGAGTATGTTGATATCGTTCGTTTTTGTTGGTCGCAATTAATGTTGTTTGCTGCTGTTTGTTGTTTGCTGTTGTTGTTGTAATTTGTTGTTGTTGTTGTAGTTTGTTGTTGTTTGTTGTCATTTGTAGTTCGCTGTTGTGGTTTGTTGTTAAAAATTATTGTTTTGTTGCAGTTGTTGTTTGTTGTTGGTTGGTGTTGGTTAATATGTTGTTGTTCATTATGTGGTGTTTTTTTTTGATTTGTCGTCTCTTTCAATTGTTAACATTTATTTGCTGTTGTTTGTGTTTGTTGGCGTCGTTGTTGTTGTTATGTTGGTTTGTTGTTGTTGTTGTTGCTGCATTTTGTTTCTTTTGATGATGACGTCATAACGACATTAATTTCTTATTCATTGTAGCATGAAGCATGGAATAAATCTATCCGCTCGCTTGCCCGCTGCATTCACACGTGGCAACCATCTGCAGCCACATATTCGCGACTGCCGTGGCTGCCTTATACACAGGTTATACACACGTCACACACACACACACACACACACACACCCTAACACACTATACAAACACACAACTCATACAAACACACACCTCATACATACACACACCTCACACACACACACACGCACACAATGTGTGTTGTGTGTTTTTACTTCCCTTCTTACAACACATGGAAATTGAAATAAGACAACGTAACGGGATGGCACATGAGAACTCTCACTTTTAATTTCATCAAACATTTAGTCTTTAATTTTTTTCCTAACTCACACACACACATACACACAATTTATATATTTTTTTTTATTAAACTTGCATGCCGGTTTGTATACACAAACAGTACACGCACATGTTTTCACACGTACATGTTTCCACACGTACATGTTTCCACACGTACATGTTTCCACACGTACATGAAGAGCAGTTGATTTGTTGTGGGGCGTGGTAAATCATGTTCTAAGCTCATTTTCTTCTTGCTCTTTCCACAATGTTTATTGGATAGATTATATTATATTATAATAGGAATGAATAAACAAATAAATAAACAATCAAATATAATTATAAATAAAGAAATCATTGAACTTCAAATACATGTGTGTGTGTGTGTGTGTGTGTGTGTGTGAGTGTGTGTGTGTGTGTGTGTGTTTGAGTATCTGCAAGCCACAACACGAATAACAGCACCTACATGTATGCCAGCCCACACACAAAATAATGCATCTTTCTTTGTTTTTAGTGAAATCCGTTAACTGTAAATATATAAAAACATCATCCTGTCGTAACAAAATGCGTAGCAGCTTAACGTGCAATTTGGTGAGAGTATGTGGAAGGTTCCCCTTCAGAGGAAACGAATCCAACAAGATTTTTCACATGGCACATGCTTCTCATGCTGACTCAGCTAAAATTACAACTGAAAAATTTAATTAGAATGAAAAACTCCTACAACTAAACCAATCATAATAGTTGCAACAGCGTTCAGCAACATTACAAGAACATCATAACAACAACGTTGCAACAACACCACATCAACAACATCACATCAACAACGTCACAGCAACATCCCATCAACAACATCCTACTAACTACATCCCATTAACAACATTATAGCAACCTCCAGACAACAGCCTCAACAACATCACATCAAAAAGAACAAAATCAATCCCACAACAATCCTTCAATAACAAGGCAATTTCTCATAGAATGTGGTTGTGTGCAGATGGAAAGAGGGTACAAGCAATCAAATGATGCACATGCTGCCCAGTTTAAACTGACCGGCAGAATAATATCCATGTTCATTTCAACTGAACTGAATACAACTCAATATTCATGGCTAATAATTTGTAAATAATTTGTAAATTATTAAAAATTTGTAAATAATTAAAAATTAAAAATTTGTAAATAATTTTCGAGAGCGAGGAATGAATGCACTTTTGTTTTCAAGTTTTTATTGCTTCATGACATAATCGAGAATGCATTCGTTATTCAGACACTGAGATATACATGCACTTTAAAGAACATTCGCAAACACATGTGCATACAAACGTGTGTACGGGCAACATACGCCATCATACACACTACACTGACACACTCGTCACTCACTCACACGTACTCCATCCACCTCCATCCGGTCCGCATGTGCACAAACACAAACATTTACACACACACACATAAACACACACGCATCAACCACTCATGTATAATATATAAACCTGCACATACACATACATGCGGCACTCGCTTACATTCACACACACGCCACACTCACATACACACACACACACACCATACACACACACAAACACACACTTACGTACAAAAAATTACACACGGACATGCGTATGTATGCAAATTGGTTTTCATTGTGATTGGCATGCATAACCATCAAAATCAATTTCAGCAATTCCAGGAAAATGGAGTTTGGAGCGCCGTGGTGGCGTGTCTGGACTTCCAGCCCGACTTTCGTTGCCGTTCTTGTTCACATCACGACACGTATCATTCTGCTTCATAATATTTCATTGGAGGAGATTTATGGGAAAGATTTTATATCTCTTTGAAACTTTTTAGTTTTTAGCGGAACGATTTTCAACTCTAGAGCAAAAAGTTATTTAATTGATGGGCAGTTTTCAAACAGCATTTGAGATCATACGGTTTTTTATTTAGTTCACATTGAATTATTTTTTAACTGAGTGCAGTTGTCGGTAGATTAATGCTCCTCTATTGAGTTTTGCATCAAGTGCTTGTGACGAACGTAACTTATTAAGCCTAAACGCTTCAGATTATTATTAACGCGATGCTCACATTATTATCGTAATAATATTTTTAATCATTGTGTCAGGAATGATCACACCTGACCAACATTCTAGCACTATGTCAAAAACAAAACTTAGAACCTTTTAATAAAATGCTTCAACATTGAAGTGCAGGCCAAATTTTTTTGAGAAATTTTTTGGAAAGTTTTCTACCGTTGCGAAAAGAAAAAAAAATTCAAACAAAAATTACAAGAACGACGACGACTGGCTAACATTAAGTTGGGGGCTGATTAAGTAAAACATGAGAAATTAATAGAGCCATACAGTCAGTCACCTTCAAAGACATTGCGAAATAAGTGCTGAATGTTTGAAGATGTTAAATTTACTCATTTTACATCCCATTTAATCTCAACTTATTGAGAGCTTCTGGTTTGCATATTTTTCAAGAAATGAATATTTCAAGAGGGCGTGTATGAATTTTGAGATTAGTTTGCGTCAAACCTTAAAATTTTATTTATTCCAGCCCTGACAAAAAAGTAGCAACAATAAATAAATAAAATGATAATAAGCTAGTTAGTCACACGAATGCTACATGAAGAGCTGATTAGCTGAATTTTAAGATTCTCAATCCTTCCATTACTTCTTCATATGCATGTTCGGCGTCACATCTTCCATTTAAACATTTAAACTTGTTGTTTGATGTTCACAATTCTCCAACTCAATGAAAAAACTAATTAATTAATCAATTAATTACATTAATAACATATTTAATATTTAATTATTTAATTGATTTTTTAAATATTTCATGATCGTGAAATCATTGAACATAAGAAGCGTGGCTGAACACCACACGACGGCACAAATATAATTAGTAAAACTTTTACGACTCTCGCACTGGCAACCGTGCGTAATAAAAATAAATTTAAAAAATTAAATTTATATTATGCCAATGTTACAATCAGTCACGTGACGAGTAAGTAGATTGTACGAGGGGATCCAAATGTTTGCGACCTGCCATAAAATTTTTCTTCACGAAACTTTTACAACTTCCCGTTTGATTTCAATCCAACATTCATCTTCTTCATCTTCATCCTCGTCACCTTCCTCTCCAGAGTCATCTGCATCATCTTCTTTCTTCTTAATTTCATCATCACCGTTGCCATCTTTATCGTTTCTATCATCGCTATCATCTTTGTCATATTTATTACTTTTGTCAATGCCTCAACTTCATCGTCATCTTCAAAATTTTTATCATCTACGTCGTTGTTGCTACTCTCAACATCTTCATCAACGCCATCATCGTCATCATCATCATCTTTGTCGTCATCACTACCACTACCACCACCGCCATCATCATCATCGTCGTTGTCATCAACTCGGAAGATAAATTTTGTGGTTCGTAGCGAATCATGTTTGCAGTCCAGTTGTTTCTAACACTCACTTGAACACTTTTAGATTTTCAATTGCAACTTTTAATTGCACTAATTTTTCATTCTCCACTTGTAGATAACGACAAACAAAAATCAGTTTTTTTTTCAATGAGAAGTATGTAAATGTAATATGTGAAAGTAAGGATGATTGCAATACGTGAGTTAAGTTAGAGGGGCTTGAGTTGTTACTAATTAGAAACGCGCCGAATGTTTGGCCGAAATTTTGTGTTCGCCTTCGACTTTGTTCATTTATAAAGGACCGAATAGCAAATATAAAGGACCAAATATTGCAACTTACGTAACTTAACCTTAGCCATTACTTTTTGCTTCCAGATCAAAAATTATTATTATCTGGAATTTTATTTTAGCCATAATAGCTTTGAAAAATTAAAAATTGAACAAGAGATTGAATGTTATCTTGATAAAGAACCGGTAGATTTGGATAATTTTCTCAATAGCTTGTTTTTTGATCTAAAAATTAATTATTTTCCAATATTTGTGGTTTTTTGGTTTCTAGATTTCGGTTTTGGTTTCAGTCGAAGTGTGTATCAACCTTTTGACTATTCATTGAATTTAAGATATTGAAGTACGTGGCACTAACAACTCCCCATTAACAACTCACCAAAATTGTTAACGTTGTTAGCAAATTATTAAACATCCACAAACCATCATAAATTTTGTAAAATATAACTGAATTTATTTTATGTTATCAAATTAAATTGACAGTTCGGTGCATCTCTGGTATGAGCTGTGATGTCCTGGGACAAGTGAATGGCCCTTGCTTTTTATTATGCATCGTCACGTTTCGGACTGGAGTTATGAAAAAAATGAATGGATTATTTTTGTTTCAACAAGTAGTTTTGAGTGCCATTTTAAAATGTGACTAATTTTTTTTGTTTAAAGTGAACAAATTGGAATGTTTGTTAAACATAAAACATGATTTTTATTACAAATTAGCAATTAAATAATTGTTCATCTCGTAACATAACACATCTTACGTGCTACGACGCAATAGTTTGTTTTACGTCAAATTATGATAAGTCAAATCATTTTGAAATATTTGTCTTATATAGAGTTAATTTGTTACTAATTAAATAAAATTGAAAGTGACATAGGCCTGCCAAGTGGATGATTTATATTTAAATTGTTTGGTGAAGCATTTAATAAGCAACAAATCAAATTGCCATCAATTGGAAATGATGTGTTAAAGAACATTTCTAATTGGAATGTTTTGAAAATAATCATTTTACATAAATGGAGACTTAGATGTTACTAAGGTAGGCGCTCCCGTGCAAAATCTCTCAAAAATTCAATTCCTCCCCATCCATTCAACGTTCCTTTCGTTGCCTTCCTTCAAATCAGTCGCATGAAATTTTTGTAGTGAAGTTAGTAGCACTCTAAAAGAAAAATTTATATACCAAATAATAATATAATTCTTTGAAAATATTCAACACGCAAACTATGCAATTTTTAGCTAACAGACAATTTTAAAATTTTTATGTGATAAAATTAAAAAGAATAAATAAATAAAATATTCTTAATATTAATAGTTTTTGAAAAGGTCTTTTCCTTGTAGTTGAATATTGAATTTGAAGTGATTAAATTGTGCAATATAATTTAGACAGATGTTTGATGGATTTATTAGAATATTCGTCAACCAATAGTTCCATTGTTGTTTAATTTCATCTCTGGCTTTAATTTTAATTTTTGTCCACTTGTCCACCTATTTGATCGTTCTACTGACTCCATCCTCGCTTCGTATGCCAGCCAAGCAGCTGATCAACTACTTTCAAAGAAACTTCACTTTACAACAGTCTTACATCTGTTTGTTCATAACCAATTTAATGATGACCTTAAGTTAATGCTCACCAATTTAATGATGGCCTTAAGTTAATGCTAATCAATTTAATAATGACCTTAAGATAATGCTAATTAATTTAATGATAACCTTAAGTTAATGCTAATTAATTTAATGATGATCTTAATTTATTTATCAGCTACTTACTTAGGTGCTATAGAAATTGCGAATGAATCTTTTTAGAGGAATCAATTTCCGCCAAATTTGAGTAGGATGAATGGGAGGTTACGTGGTGGGCGTCTGAAAATTTACGTATTTTGTATGTTTATTCGTGATGTTTGCATGATTGTATGTTTATTTGGGATGTTTGTATGTTTGTGTGTTTATTTGGGATGTTTGTATGTTTGTGTGTTTATTTGGGATGTTTGTATGTTTGTGTGTTTATTTGGGATGTTTGTATGTTTGTGTGTTTATTTGGGATGTTTGTATGTTTGTGTGTTTATTTGGGATGTTTGTATGTTTGTGTGTTTATTTGGGATATTTGTATGTTTGTATGCTCATCTGAAATGTTTGTATGTTTATTTGAGATGCTTGTATGGTTTTATGTTTGTATGAGATGTTTGTATGAGATGTTTGTTTTTCCTATTTGCATTTATAGCAAATGTTTGTATGTATGTGATTTAATGTTTGTAAAAAGAAACTTGTATTATTGTGGTTTGTATGTTTGTATGATATTCGCGCATGTTTTTAATAATCATTTTCACATAACTGTGTTGTATGTTTGCGATTGGCAATTTCGCTTGTATATTTATGAGTTGCATATGTACATTTAAGATGTCAACATGTTTTTGATAAGTTTATGCTTCTTATGTTTATGAATTAGCTGGTCGACGTTATGGCCTAATGGTTAGGCGCCTGGTTCTTCTACGCACCGTCTTGGTTCGACTGCAATGATATCCGCAGTGATCAAATGTGATGTCTGGTTTTTGTTTTTCGTTGTTGATGCAGCTGATGAGAAATTTAGAAAGAATGACCTTTATTATTTGTGCATGTTGGTCTCTATGTTTGTATACAATGTTTGTATGTATGTTTCTATGTTTCTGTGCGTGTTTGTATACAATGTTTGTATGTTCCTATATTGATATGTGTTTGTATAAAATTTTGGTATATTTGTATGTTGGCTTGTTGTGTTTATATCCGGGCCGTTTTAAAGCCATGGTAAGCTCTAGGCACTTTCAAAGTCGTAAAACCCTCTCTCATTTCATTTTTAAAATAATTCGCAAATTGAAATCCAAATAAATTTTCCGTGTGTTTCTTTTTTCTTAAATTTTATGTTCTGCTGCTTTTCGTAGGTCCTTGAAAAGTATGTGGGCCCAAGGCAGAGTGCGTACGGTGTCTTGTTAATAAAGCTGTATAAACTCTACATACAATGTTTTCATCTGTGATGTTTGTGATTGTTTGTATTAACTGTAGCTTCAACGTTCTGATGCTCAAATTCAAGCAATTAATGTTGTCGTCAAACTTCTGTGGCCGTGATTTTTTAGTTGTGTGTCTGTTCGGTTGTGTGCTTGATTGACAGTGTGGTGGTAATTTGAGCGTCTGTCCGAATGTTTTATTTTATTGTTTATGATGATTTTGTTTTGCGTGTTAGTGTTTCAGCTGTTTGCATGCCTTGTTTTAAATTTTCATGCTTCCAATGTTGTTAGTTGTTACGCTCATGCGATTTCAAGTTTGTAAAATTTAGTTGTTCTAATCCTAAATTTTGGTTGAATGAGAGGAGCATAATATTCACAGATACTTCACAATTGCCGTTTGCATCTTTGTTGAACGTCTCAAATATGAAACAAGTCATTGAATGATGTTTCCACCAAAAAATTAAAAAAAAAAACTCGAAGAACGCCTCATAAAACGTTGACGCATCAGAGTGGCTGGGAGCACGCGAGGTCCAACATTTTATGCATCGCTATTGCTATGCGGAGTGCGCAAGAAATAATTATTGCAAATGTTTTTCAGAGATATTCCTTTCCTCTTCCATGTCCACCACCACCGTCACCTCAGCCACCACAGCCACCACAGGATGACCACCGTTATGTATGTAAGTGTGTGGCAGTGTTGTTGTTGTTGTTGGAGGTCCATGCTTATTTATATGCGCTGCTGCAACTGTCTCAGACTTGATAAAACAATTGGACTGACCTTGCATGAAATATGACCCGCGTTGCTTCAACATTTTTTAATGAGGTCCTCTATATCGCCATTAGCAGCATCGTCATCATGATCATCATCATCTTTGTCATCATCATCATCATCTTTATCATTTTCATCATCATCTCTGTCATCATCATCGTCATCATCACGGTCATCATCATTATCATCATCTTCGTCGTCGTCATCGTCGTATCGCCATTACAAGAACTGCTATCATAATGAGGATGGTGGTCATGATGCAGGTGATAAAGATGATGATGATGGTGGTGGTGGTGGTCATGATGATGACGATGATGATGATAATGATGACGATGATGATAATGATAAAATGAACATTGGCAATGATAATGATAAAATAAATTTTTTTTGATTATTATGATGCAATGATGAGACTGACGATGGTGATAATGATGTTGACGACGATGATCATCATCATGACATCAAGCAGTAGTAGTAACTAGAATGATTTATGGTAAGTTGGAAGCTTTTAAATGGAGAATCCCACTTTTTGTCATTTCATTGTTAATTCCATTTTGGTGAAAATTTATGAAAAATTAGTTTAAAAGCTGTTTTAAAAAATTAACTGCAGACCAAACGAAAGAGATAAATATGCGAGGCAGTGGTGTAATGGTTAAGACGCCTGGCATTGGTTGTGGAAGCGATCCATGTATTCACAACGCCGAAGGTTGAAGCATAAGAAGCGCGCCTGTGGCTCAAAAACATGCCACAGATGAACCTCAAATCAGCCAGCTATTAAGAAAACATTAGCATAATTATGTGTCAAGAAATTTGTAAATAGTTAACACAACAAAGATTTTCAAAAAAAGCAAAATTGTCAGCCACATTTTCATTTGCAGGTACAAAGACCTGCCACATATTTCAACATCATCACATGCCATTATATAATAATTACATACAAATAATCAGTGGCCGACCTAGGGATAACTTACAGGGAAGTGGGAAGTAGCCAAGATTTTAAAAAAAATTAGTTTTTTTTAAATTTTGGTGGAGAGGGCCACCAAGACTTGGAGTGGTGTGGCCAAAATATCCATGCATGGCCCACCAGGTAGCCCTACTCTAGATCCGCCACTGCGAATAATAAAAACACACTTGTGCATGTTTTGCACGCACGCATGCACAAATACATTCATACATACGTACACTCAAATACATACGTTCAATCAAATTCATACGTACACCCAAATACATACGTACAATCAAATACATGCAGATCATAAAGAAGTATTTATTAATAACCAAATACGTTATATGTTGTATATACACACACACACCACACACACACACAAAATGCACACACACCACACACACACAAAACGCACCCACACCATCATCGTACACACACAAACAAACACACACATATACACACAATTATATAAAACTTTGCAGCATTGCAGACATATATATACATATAAGAAACATTCCATACATCCAGGGAGGTGGTCAAATGAAGAAATAATGACGTCATTAAATCGTTTGGATGACGTGTCAATCGAAGGTTCATCACGTGACTTGCATCTTCACTGCCATTGGTCCAATTGATTGGTCGTTCAATTCATCTGTGTATTGAGCGCTCTGTCTGCTTGTTTATGTACATGTTTATACACACACACAAACACACACACATACTATTAAGTATTTTGTACGTATGTATAAATGTATTCATGCATGTGTGCGTGCAGACAACATTTTTTGTTGTATTCTATCGATCCTCATGTATCTATATTGTTGTATTAGTTACATTGATACAGATGCATTCTTTGTTGTATTGATACTTATTATCCCCGGTGTTTTGTTGTTTACAGACGTCATAATTGTTTGCAAGTGGGTGTTTTTGATGGTTTAATGGATTGCTTACATTCTGAACTTCAAAAAGTTTTGTTGGATAAGGAGGGGTGTCCCACTAAGATGTTTGGAGGCTTTACACTGCAACTTGCTATGTTTGATGAAAAACAAACTGAAACTACCCACAAACGGAAACTTTTTACAAACTGAAACATCCATAAACTGCAGCTCTCCACAGACTGAAATTTCCCACAAACTAAAACTTTCCAACCCTTTCATATAGATGAATACATATTCTCAAATGTTTTGATTGAAAAAATCAAAGCGTTTGAAGTTGGTGTGGCAGCTTCTCGAATGATTTCAAGATGGTCTGCACCCAGTGAAGACACGATGCTCGGAACAAAATATAATGGTGGCAGCTGTTAAACAAAAACAACTTTCGCTAATTCAGAATTATTTTTTTAAATTAAAAAAAAACAACCAAAACGATCTCACGCGGCAAATTTCTGCTTTAATTTGATGAGCCCTAATTCCAAAAGAGGCTTACAGACGGATTTCGGAAAAAGTTCTCTCGGATAGAGTAACATTTTAACATACATCAACGTTGTTGTTACTATCATTATTGCAATCAGATGTTGCTGAAAAATATTTATATTCGACTAACAATGGCGGACATCTGCCTGGTAAATATTTTATGAGTCCACAGCCAGCTTGTCATTCACTAGTACATTATTATCATGCCATCATTGTCTGTTGTGTTGAAACTATTGAGAATTTTGTTGCAGGGTTAAAACTGATTTTAAATTTTTATAAGAACAATCAACTGGTTGGTTAGATGCAATTGTTTCAAAGCAAGTTAATACTTCTGGATTTCAGCAAAATAATAAAAAATCTTCCAAAAAACTTTAAAAAAAACTGCTCAAAATAGAACATACATAAAAAAAGCACAATTTGAAAATTTTGTTCAGGAAATCTTCAACTGGAGGACAGATGCAGACACGCAGGCACTCACACGCCCTGGAAACAAATCGAAATCTCTTCCGGGTTTTTAAGCTTCAAAAGTTGTGCGCTGGCGATAATAAAGCAGTACCGACTGCATGGGCATAAAACAACATTGCAGACTGTTCGCACATCTCCAGAACGATTCCGTGATAGAAAAAAACTGAGCACTCCAACTACAAAGATATGAACATGCAAACATACAAACATACGAACGTACGAACACACAATCATACGAACATACAAACACACAAACATGTAAACTTATGAACATATACAAGCAAACAAACATACAAATATACAAATATGCAAATATATGAACATATAAACATACAAACATACAAGCAAACAAACAAACAAACGAACAAACATACACACATACTAACATACGATACGATACGATACTTTTACGATACTACGATACAAACATACAAACCTACGAACATACAAACATACAAACATACGAACATACAAACTCATCAAAACACTAAATCATCACGAACAAAATCATCACCAATCGGCAGCATAAACATACACAACAGCATACAATAAATTATACTTTTACAAAATTTCGATATTTTCGATACTTATTATGTTACAGAAGTAACAAGCTTGCATAGATCTTCTTGCAGTTTAGTCGTGCAAAATTAAACATTAACAAGAAAAACAACAAGCAAACTGACTAAACCTAACCCTAACCCTAACCATTCAGCCAACCATCCAATTAACCAACAGACCATCCTACCCTTCTGCCGACCAACCAACCAGCCAAACAACCGACCAACAAACCAGCCAACCAACCAACCGACCAACCAACTGTTCAGTCGGTCAGCCAACCAACCGACCAACCAGCCAACCAACCAACCGACCGACCGACCGACCGATCGACCGACCAATCAACCAACCAACCAACCAGCCAACCAACCGACCAACCAACCGATCGACCGACCGACCGACCGACAACTGTTCAGTCAGTCAGCAATCAACCAACCAAACAACCAGCTAAACTAGGCGGTCATTAAACCAATAAACAACGAACCAGAGATTTACGAATGGTTTTTCAAAATTTCAAAAAATTGTTTCGCCCAAACAACAGCGCATCTTCGTATATGAACACCAACATTGAATTTGTTGCATAAAATTTGCTTTAATCAACTTCTTTTTATGTTTTTAAACATTCACCTGCTTATTCGCGCCTCACAAATCAAAGTTGTTCATATTTTAGTATTCTGTTTTAGGCCATTTTTTTGATGAATTTTCAAAATTTTAACACGTATTATCAATGAAAATAATAGACAAATCATTTTAAAATTGAAATAAAAATGAAACTCACAAATGAATGTTTGATTAATTGAGTATATTAACTTTAAACTTTCAAATGAATTCAACAATGATTATAAGTAATTTATTTAGTAAATATAATCCATATTCAAGATTGTTCACACACAAGATTGTTCACGCACAAGATTGTTCACACAAAAGATGAACATAAATGTATGAAGTTCCACCAGCTTAAAATAGTTCATTGTAAACAAATTGCAACACCCAACACAATATAAACCTTACCAACAGCTGAACGAAAATCTTTTGTTATTTTTGACAAAATTAAACAAAACCAACTTAAAGTTTTAAGAAGGACAATGCAAATAATTGAAATGTTTTAATCGTTCTATCTCTGGCACCCATCTTGCAGGTGGTGGTGGTGGGGTGTTGGGGTGCATTCCGCAGAGCCCTGCAGCTTTTTGGGATCAGGTTTTGAGAGGATTTGCAGTAAGAATGATAAAAATGTTTCAAAAAAGTTGTTGTGATAGAAATAAATTTAGGAAATGTGAAGTTTATTTGAAAATGAAATATCTTTTGAATAATGGTTGGAATGTTTTAAATTGAAATACTTTTTGACAATTATGGTGCAAGTTGGAAAATGTTTCTGCATAAATCGGAAAGAAAGTCTGAATAATAAACTCGCAAACTATAATATGTCAAAAATAATTTATTAAATAAATAATAATATTTATTATTTACCATGTAACAAAATAACAACGACAACATTAAAGATAACGTTGTATTAAGAAGCTTCCTCACTCAGGACATAACACCACACAAACAACGCAACAAAAACCAAACAACATCACGTGATATACACAACAACACAACCAAACAACACAACACACCACACAACAACACCAACAACAAACACACAACATCACAAAAAACATTTTAATCTCCAACTCGCATCTGCAAACACGAGTCACCCAAAGTCAACCAAATTTATAAGTTAGCAACTTTAAAATAATTTTACTACACATTAATAACTACAATTTATTTTATCTGATGTTGATTTAAACATAGATAAACGATTGAATTTTTAAATTAATAGTATCCAACCGATCTAATTTGAAAAAAAGCTTCGAAATAAAATAATTTGTAAATAATATTAAATTTTTAGGACTAAATCTTTAGGAAACAACTCGAAAATTATTACAGAAGCAGTACAGCCCGTGCCCATGCCGTAGATAATAGTAATAATGACATAATAATGGCAATAATTAATGACATTAATAATAACAAGAAATAACACGCAACACGACCGTCCAAATTGAAAACAAGTACATTATAAACTTTTATATTCCTTCTTGAAGAGTTTCTGAGAAATTTCATTCGTCAGTTACGCCAGCGCTGCTTCGTACCTACGCTGGAGTTTATGAATGTCCAAATATAAATATTGCATGTGTGTGTGTGTGAGTGTGTTTGTCTGTATGTTTGTGTGTGTGTGTGTTCTTTGACATGGTTTTTGATAATTGCATTGCAAATTCACATGTTCGACTAAATGGTGTAAGAAGTAAAGTACTGATGTGAAGAACACTTGTGATTATCGCATGAAAATTTCAATTTTTATTAGATTGTTTACGAATGTTTGTAAGTTTTAAATATTAACTTGTTCTTAGTTGCATTATTTAATTTGTTCAAAATCGGTTCACTGGGAAACTCTTAGTTTGTGTAAATGATGCATATAAGATGTGAGATAGTTGTTTCAACTATTTTTGCTAGTCTGTAAGTGGCCAGTTTAATGTAGAGTCAAAAATCCATTTTAAACATTAGGTACCTGAAATACATTTGCCGAACACCAAACCAATGCTTGGATTTTATTTTTGTTTGTTTGTTTAGTTTTGTTCAGCTGACAGCACGCAAAATAACTCAAGATTCATCACACACGATCCACATACGATGGTTGAACGTCTGCTTGAATGTTGTTGATACAGCTCGTAACATATTTAAACTCACTAATTTAAACATTTATTTATTTATTGAAAAACTCAATTAATTTATCGTTTAATTAGAAGGAACTAGATACGAGCGCAATCTGAAGTTTGAAATTAAAAATAAAAGTTTAGTGGGTTGAAAAGTGACAATAATAACCAATTTGATATAATTATCTGTGTTTTGTTGTGTTTCATTTCATGTGCAGAAAAAAATGAATATACCTTCGTAAGTAACTGGCTCTTAAATGATTTTTTTTCAAATTGTAGGTTTAGTTTGCTTTTGAAAAAAAAAATCAGAAAATTTTCATTTAGCTTCAACTTTTTGAATAGCTTTGTTTTTTAATAGCATTTGATTCAAATGTTTTCAATTTTGTCGAAGATTCCACTCCCTAACGAAAATATATTTTTAATGAGTGAAAAGTCAGACAAGATGATCCAACATCTCAGCAGTCTTGCGTGAAGTATATAGGTGATGAAAACGTCAAATTTGGTCATGTCATGTGACGCGACGAATTCCAGTTCATTATCAAGTTTGTTCAGTTCATAAACATTCTTCAATTGTCGTCCCAAATCTAAGAAACTTGGCAAATATACATTTGTTTTGCAGTTGAGATGGATTTAATGTTTGGTTAAAGTTTTTAAATGTTTTAGTTGGTAAAAATTATTTAATAAAAAAAAATTTCATGACACTAAGGCGTTGACAAGTGTTGGCCTTGAGGCCGCAGTCACCTAAATATAAATACAACAGAGTTAAAATTTAAATTAATAAAAATAATAATTCAAAAATAATAATTGCGCTATATTAATTATGGGTGGGTGAAAAAAAATTGATAAATTGCTAAAAAACCCTCAAAAATTGTTAAAATCCACCCACCAAAAATGTCTGAAATCAACACTTTTGTTACTTTCGAAAAACCATGAAATGATTGAACATTTATCATCAGTCGTTGTCATCAGTTTGAAATTGCGCAAACCTAAATTTATTACCAAATTTAAATTTCATACGCGTGGTGCACAAACACGTGCGTCCAAGTTACTTTGTAAATCAGTGCGTGTATCAGTGCATGCAGACATTTGTATGGGGTATAAAAATCCTTTTGAATGGCAGACTCGATAATTAGGGAATAAAATTCTTAATGTGCTGAATTTCATTGATTTGGGCACGTGCACGTCAGCGATAAACTTTCCGTTTGATCATCGCGGCGTTCATCAATAAAATGCCAAGCAAACAGCGCTCTCTCTCCCACTTTATTGCCCTCGATTCAAAATCTACTTTTTGGATTTTTATTTGTTCTATGCAATTCTGCCCAGAATATAATAACGTAATAATGCGCTGTGGAATGGTTTGATTCTGTTATTTATGAATTTGGAGGATGAAAATGTATGATTTATCAACATTTTTAATATTAATTTTCGAACACACAGTGGTGTGTTGACAACACACTGCTACCACTTTTATAAATTTTGAAAATTAACGTTAAGAAAAGTAAGAAAATTAATAATTAAAACTTAATTTTATCAGTGCCTAACTTTGGGGAATATTTAATGTCATAAATAGAGTTGCTTTTCATTTCGTGTTTTAATGTTTTGAACGCTGAATGGAAAAATATCAGTTATTTATTGATTGAGAGTTGAAATGAAAAAATATGAAGACATATTTGAATTAAAAATTTTTTTAAATAATTTGAAAATAATTATTTAACGAAATTTAAAACTATAGAAAAAAAAATCTGTGCGATTGGAAATATACTTTCTAGCTGCTAACAAATTAGCTGATAGGAATGAATGCTGTGAGTATTGCCTACTTTCAACGGTGAATGCTTTCATGACACCAAGATGACGTTGAAGGAAGGAAGCAATTACATTCGACAGTTTTAAGCAGAAGTAAACCAACGTTCACAAATATATTAATAGAAAGGTTGTTAGTAAG